CTCAAAGCCTAGAACCGCCAGGACGCGGCACATCACGCAGGGTTTACCCTGTCAGCCCACAGGAGTTTCAGCGCACAGCGCCTCGTAAACCAGGGCAGGGGCGTTCTTTCTGCCCTTGACTGAAGGGTCAACTCAGTGCGTCGCTCAGCGGGGCGCCATTGGGCAGCGCTTGGGGGGGTGGTCGGAACGGCCGCCCCGGGGTGGCCCGCGGGCGGACCGGTGTGGGCCCCCTCTCAGCACACCCCGCCGTCAGCCAGGGGCGGACCAGCCCGGGACCCCCGCGGGGCTGGCACTGGAGGGGCCCCCTCGTCGCGAGGCCGCGCGGGGCCAGGCGCCAGTCCCGCAGGGAAGGTCCGCGGGAGCATCGGAGCGCCTCTGGGAAGAGTGCGGGGGGCCTCTCTGGGGGGGCACCTGGGGAGCTTCGGGGGACTCTGGGAGAGGCCGCTGGGGAGCGGGCATGTTAACTCTACTCGGCCCTACTCCACCCTCCTCTCTGTGCCCTGGGCTGCTCCGCGCTGTGCAGTGTGACTCTTCCACCTGCCCTGCCCTGCCATACCATTGTTGTTCCGGTGCAGCCGACTTGTCTCCACTCGGCTTGACCCTGCATTACGCCACTCAACTCTGCATTGTTGTCCACTCTACTCTAACTCTGAGGCGTGGTGTCGAGGTAATGTCTGGGGCACTTCAAAATCTGACAAACTTTCTGCCGGGTCAAGTCGCTGGTGTTGATAAACGGCCATAATTGTGATATCCACGTCGCCGCGGAGAAACGTGAGAAGCAGTACGCGGCCTCTGAATCCAGCTGGGACGTAAACTTTGCGGGGATGGCGGGGTTGGTGGATCCGTCGGCTGACGCCGGCGGCGATGCCAGTGCTCTTGTCTTGGGGTCGCCCAGCATGTCCAGAATGGTGACATCTGTGCTGGGATTGTGGAAGACCCTGTAAATAGTCAGGACCGGCCCCAAAAGTATCTGGAAGGACAACATAGAAATAGGATTTGAACGCGTTGCTGATACTTTGTGGCCGTCCCGCTGC